CGCATGATCCGGGGGCAGCAGGGCAGGCCCTACGAGGAGAGGCGATGGGACCTGAACCTGTTCAGCCTTCACAAGAGAAGGCTGAGGGGGATCTGGTGGCTGTCTATAAACTGACCAAGGGGGACCAGCAAGCACTGGGGGAGTCCCTGTTCCCCCGAGCAATCCCGGGAGTAACAAGGAACAACGGCCACAAGTTGTTAGAGAGTAGGTTCAAGCTGGACATCAGGAGGCGCGACTTCACTGTCAGGGCGGCTAGGAGCTGGAACCAACTTCCAAGAGAAGTGGTGCTCGCTCCTACTCTGGGGGGCTTCAAGAGGAGGCTGGATAGACCCCTAGCCAGGGTCGTTTGACCCCAGCATCCTTTTCTATGACACCTGCAGCCCCCCTTGAACCCATCAGATGACACGTTCATGACCCTGGCCACCGACAGACATCCAGTTAATGGCGCAATGGGATCCAGTCCCCACTGCCAACGGTTGCCTCCAGCCAGCCCCTTGCAGTCTGTGAGATCCTTTTGTGGTCTTTTCCCTGTTTTATGGCACCATTCATGGCATGGGTGTGTGGCCAGGCAGCTGCTTAAGATGTGATTAAGTGGTTAACCATGTCCTAAGTGTAACATCTGCCAGGGACCCTAAAGTCCCAGCACTGCGGGGGCAGCACGGAGCTGCAGGCTCATGTCCAGCCCAAGGCACAGGCACCTCTGCACCCTGATCCTCCGGCCCAGCGCCTGTCCAGCCTCTTGGACTCTCCAGAGCTGCCCTGACGCTCCAGATGGGGCCTGGGCAGCGCGGAAACGAGACCCCCATCACCTCCCGTCAGACCCGATGCTGCTGTCGCCGGACCCCAGAGCGGCTCAGGCCTCGCATGCAGCTGCCTCCCTGCAGCCTCCTGTCCGGTCCCTTCCCTGTGGCTGCATCCGGCTGGGCGCCCTGGTCTGTCCGTGCGTCTGATCCTTCCCCTGCCCGCGTCAGCGCTGGGCACCAGCCCGGGGGCTCCAGCCCAGGTCCCGGTGTGTTGGGATCCTGCCAGCCCTGTGGTCCTGTCCTTCCAGCTCCATCGGCTGGGCCCAGCGCAGGCCCCGGTGGGCTCCACTCCTGCCATCCAGGCATGGACTAGTGACGACACGCTCTGCTTGCAGTGGCGGGGCCGGTTATCTGTCCGCCTTCATGGGACCTGTTCTGCACCCGAGTCCTCGCTTCCCTCTTGCGTCCCGCGGCTTCCAGTGCTTCCCCCGAGCTCAGCTGCTGCTTCTGCTCCGTCCTCCTCGGTGCCAGTCCTGGGGCCGGAGGCCTTCGTCCAGCCTCCGCTGTGCGCTGCCTCCCCGCCAGGCTGCCAGATGCTGCCACCAAGGCTCTTTTCTGTGCTGACCGCATGGACCCTGGCCCTGCAGAGCTGTGTCCTGCCCAGGGCAGAGACCCCATGGCCGCAACCTGGACGCCAGGTCCTTGCCACGATCCCAGAGCCAGGTGGGCATCCTCCAGGGAACCGCCTCCATCACTTCACCAGCCAGGTCCCCGCTGGCCCCAGCCCCTCTCTGGACGGGTCTTTGCTCTCTGCCAGCCAGTCGCAGCTCTGGCCCCTCTGAGCCAGTCAGTGTCAAAGGTGCTGTCCCACCCTGCCCTACCCTGCAGACTGGTGGGGGTGAAACAGGGCCTGGGGGAGCGCGGCCTGAAGGTGAAGCAGTGCCTGCACTGATAAATGTGCTCCAGCACACACGACTTGCATGGACGCTCGTGCTCCAGCATGCACACGACCCACACTGACACATCCTCTGATGTGCACGACCTGCCTACACTCGCCTGCATGCTCCATTGTGTGCACCCCGCACACGTTCACATGTGCACCAGCATGTCCCCACATACACTCCTATGTGTGCTCCACTGTGCCCACCCCCTGCAGTCACACACACTCCCGTGCACTCGCATGTGTAGTGCAACACGCCCACCCCCCTGCGCTGACACATACTCCCTCTGTACTCACACACAGGCCTTCAAGCATGTCTACGCACTGCTCCCATGCATGTCCCTGCGCACTCACACATGTACAGCAGTGTGCCCATACCCCCCACACATTCACACATGTAATCACCATGTACTCACATGTACTCCAGCATGCCCATGCAGCTTGCACTCGCACATGTACGCCCCTGTGCACTCACACATGTACTCCAGCGTGCCCACGCGCCGTCCCAGCTGCCGCAGCACCAGCGGGTTGTAGGTCTGGGCGCTGCCAAAGTCGACGATCTTGATGGTGTTGATGCAGGAGACGAGGATGTTGTCGGGCTTGATGTCCAGGTGCACGATACGGCGCCCGTGCAGGTACTCGAGGCCCTGCAGGACCTGCAGCAGGTAGCTCGCCACGTCGTCCTCAGAGTATCGGGACCTGCCGCGGGCCGAGTGTCAGGCGGGCGG